CAGATGCACGTGCTGCAGGTCAGAAAGGGCGATTCCCTGGACCCAATCATAATAATTATACCAGTCTCATTTTTGTAATGTTTAGACAATGTCTGCCACATGGTAATTTGGATGGCACTAGATGACACGTCAATGCAAAATGAGTACATTACACAAAATTTAAAGATAAAACATAAGCAGCCTTTCGCTCAACTCTACTTTGCAGAAAATAAATAGCTGCAAAACTGTAACTGTAAAATTCGGACAGATAAAGCAGAGAGCTACAGATCCAAGCGTTTTAAAAACCTTCGATTTCCGCCACCGCTTTTTTTTTTGTTTTTTGTTGCTCACTTCGGGGTATTCTTGCTTGTTTTTTTTTTTTTAGCTTTCTCCAGCTTCAAGCATGATATCCATTAATTAAGCATGGATTTCACTCCTATTCTTGATACTTTATTTACCTTTCAACGGTCCCAAACAGCCCTATGTTTTGGAATGTCAGTTTTAAAAAATTTATTCCGACGTCCATGTTGGAGCGTATATCTTGCTAAGAACATAGGCTTGCCCCAAAATGGGATTAAAATAGATGGCAAGTTATCGGGTACCATTCCTAAAGCTTGGAAAAGCACAGAATGAAGAAATATGACCCGAAATGAAACACAAAAAAGCGGTGGCTTAAATCGTCGGTTTTTACAACGCTTGGACCTGTAGCTCTCTGTCTTTTCTGTCCGAATTTTCTCAGGCAGAGAGGTAAAGTGCTGCACTTACCTTTACCCCTGATCCTGGTCTTAAAAGGCACCTAAGCATTCTGAAAAGTTGTTTACAGACAAACAGTTTCAGCTGACTAAGCAAAATACTTTACCCAGAACACAATTTCCTGGTCTTTGACCAGTACAGGTAAAAATTTATACGAATGGGGGATACGGGATGTGCTGTGGATGGACACGACCTACATAATGTACATGTATATACACATCTTCGCTAGCCAAGGGTTTCTGATACGCTATATTAGTATTCTTTTCTAGATCTCACAATACGTCATGACCTACAAATATCATGCTATGGTACGCGTTCTGTGGCCCACAAGTTATTGGCAATGGTGACTGCTTCCATTAGATACTGCCGTGCCCCAAATACTGTGGCACCAAGGTATGAGTACAATATCATCGAATGTCATGAAATAGACATAATAGTATTCGTTGCTTTTTCTTTGGGACTAAGACCTTCAAATGTAATACCTATGTCACTGTGAACAACTCATGTGTAAATTATAATTATACACCGAATAATTGAAAATACGAATAGTAATATACAGAAAACACTAATGTTGTGCCTACACAAACACGGAGACAACAGTGTCTTGTCGTGATATTGAACACCTTGTTTTCTTGTAGACAGCCATTGATTTATCAATAACAAAAATTCGTGTTTCAGACATATTTCAAATTGTAAATAAACATGTTTAATAGATTCTTTAAGAATAAACTTTCTAAATGATTGATTTGGAGGACGTCTTGCTGAGCTTTTTGCTTGTTTAAGGTCAAGAGCACTGAATGTCAAGACAAAAGAGTTCCAATTCACAACTACCTTTTGCACAGTTAATCATGTCCTTAACTGTCCGTCTGTAAGAGCTTGTAGCAGTTCGACAACACGATCATTTTCATTGTCAAATAACCTAATACGTACAACTATTTCAATCATTTGATGGTGTACAAGGCATACAGCATTGATACAATAAGAAAATAGGAGTAATTTGGGACAAACAGATCAATATTGTGATAGAGTCTTGATCACTACAAGAGTTTCCGCTCATTAAATTTCGGGAAACTTCAGTGTTCCAAAAAGAACCCCAATTTAGGTGGCTGGAACACATCCGACACGAATTTCCTCTGTTTACAGCGCTCACATATGTAAGGTCATACGTTTCCTTTGCCCTCACATTAAGAAACTAAATAGTTCACAGAGACATCAAATCCTAATGGTGTCTTTTAGAATATCAAAATCACCATTTCCGCGATTCTTTAATGAGGGAATCAGCTCATTGAAGACTCTCGTTCAAAAGATCCACAACAGAGGTCAAAATACATTTACCAGTAAATCATAACAGAGGTCAAAATACATTTACCAGTCAATCACAACAGAGGTCAAAATACATTTACTTGTATATCAATTATGCACTTCTCTTTACATATGTTTAAAAGACTTGATGTTTGGGGACACGTATATTTGAATTTCCTAGACTGGTTTTATGACCTCACAATCACCGAGATGTCCAGAAAGAAAAAAAGGACAGCTAACTTTAAGACAATAGACAAATAGTTAATGGTATGTATCGATTTTATTTTAGTCCCTATAAGAGTATTTTAGTTTTGTTTGACGTCAGATTAGAATCCGAATTTTTTTAATCGTCGAAAAGGAAGACGTGATGACATGTGTTCTTGGGACCTTAAGAAGGGAGTGGGCAAATAAAACGAAAAACAACACAGCTTCTCTTAAAATAAATGTCCTTCCTCGAAAATAACAATTAGAAAATGCGAAGATTGCAAAATCTGATGTCCACAAGCCGCAAAAACAGTTGTCCGACAACTTCTGTGAATGCAGACCTACATGTGGTGCCGGATACCTGTATGTGCGTCTGCTTGGTTGTCGTAAATTCCAATCATGCCTATTCGAGAGAGCGAACAATATACAGTAGCAAAAAATGCAAATCAACCCAAAGCATGTAGTGCTTATAAGATATATCACTTGATATAAACAATACATATTGCACGTAACTAGAACGTTAATGAAGATTTAATATCATGACCTATTCTTGATTCGAAATGAATAGAATTTGATGGCGTTGATCTTTCATGTAAATCTCTCAGACCGGATGTTTTTTCGTAGTTTTCCATCATTATTGAGCATAAAAACAGTTGTGGTAAATTAATGTTTACATTTTAAACAATTCATGTCTTAGATCAAACTTTGTTCGCATTGCGGAGACACGCAGTTGTTCAAGTATTGAAAAGGAACGAGAACAAGAAATGTACATGTAAGCCCCCCATGTTGTAAAATTAAACTCTCGAAGGTTTGTATAATTGGTCACCCACTTGTAAGGGACAAGCATCATACATAAATTTATACACAATGTACTAATTTTCTTCAGTTTGACCTCAGTGTCATCTTCAGAGGGTAGCGGTGTACCAAGTTTGTCTGTCAAGCATACGATTCTCAAGACAGACAGAGCGCGGTATACCGACAGACATACAGATCGACAGATGCAACGCAATGTACCCGTTTTTTTATGAGGGTGGAGTATAAAACTAGTGCGTGAGGGGAGGGTGTGGTAGAAAAGTAGGACTATACTTTATATTTCGTCATCAATGACCAGTTAAAGGGTTATAAGTGGTATAAAGAACAAGACATAGGTCCCCAGGACTTCGCTATCTTATCAAGGTGAATAACAAGACCAGCGGTTAACACCTCCAAGCTGGTGCCGAGATTTCAATGACCCGGTCAGACCAATACACACATTTAGAAAGTAATCATAGCTTACGCAATTCCTGTGATAGACTTTTCTTCATCTCCAATAAAAAGACGGGTCTGGTTAATATTCCGGGAGATAACCTGCTTTGACCTGGGGTCAAGTATCGTCTGCTCTGGCTTAGTGCTAATCCACGTTCACTTACGACATGACCTAGCGCATCAATTGCCTCTTAAATTTGAAAGTTACGCAAGAAATCTATCTCTGTGACCAAGATTATGTTTAAAAACATGTGACCCTTTTCAGTAAGGGTTCACATCATGAAGTTTTCAAGAAGCCAATAATAATAATATTAATCGCAAAGAGCTGAATCAGAGAATCACCGAGCTTACGACCCACAGTCCAGACATCACATGCTTTGTGTGAACATTAAATATTAAAGTGTTTCTGTACTCTTGAACTATTTGCACTAATCTTTTTTTTTTTTTTAATAATTTTCAATGGAGATAGTACTTTCGCTATACAGTACTTAGAGTGCCAATACATCGGTATGGAATACAACACACTCTATCGATACACAAATAGGGTAATAAAATACAGGTATATTCCAATTCACACTTTGAATTAAATCACGATTGAATAAAAAAAGGTACTTATTACCCTTTTTATTTCCAAATATTCACATTACACAAGTGACAGTCAAATTACGTAATAAAGCAGGGATTGACGAGGACAGTGGTACCTGACCGTTATATAACGCAATAGATAAAAAATAGGATGTTAGAAACAATATTCAGCTTTAAAGCATAATAAATCACTGGAAAAATAGTTGTCTAATTGCGTTCTCTTTTCAAAAAACACTGACGAAGAAAGGGTCCTGGGACACTGAAAATAATTTAACATGATATTGATATTTCGATCTACAAAATAAAACTTTACTTACAAATCAAAGAAAATACCTCTTGTTAAATACCGATACATAAATCAAGACGAGAAAATAGATGTAGACACTTTTGTTAAACTTCTTTGTAAGGAAAGGATACGGTTGGATCTAGGGGAAAATCCGGCCCGCTCCATATATAACTTTCTTCTACCCAATACACGTTAACTACGCTTTGTTGAGAACACGAAATCCGTGTTAAAATCAAATTCAATTTCTTTTACGTAAACAGGTTTTGTCTGCATTCCTTCAAGGACCAGGAAAATACGTGTTGGAATAAAAAGAATATCGGACACTTCTTTGTATCCGCGACATGAGAAATCATGCTATCAGACGCGATTAGGCCCCATCCTTTGAAGTTTTGATCGCTGGTCGATAAAAAGTCAAATTTATCTTCATTCCCTCATTTTATTCATTTAGTGAGTGCTAATTTGTTATGTCTTTTTAGGAGGACGACATCGTTTGAAAGACTTGAGATATTTTGAATATTTGCCCACATACATATACATATATAAACAAGGTTAACTCAATCCCAGCACGAATACCGTTATCCTACTGTAGTCTGTAAAACGCTCTACAATTCATACCTTCCTTGTAAATTTATACACACTTAAGATAGAGAATAAACAATTTTATTCAAATATAAAACCTATCGCCTGTTTAGAAGACATTCTCGTGTTTATTAAAATTTTAAAAAGAGCATGCACAACATAAATGATATCACAGTCCACCCCGAGTTTAAACAGCTTCGTCAGTTGGTTGGTCCGTTGACCGGTATAGGTCGGTGGTAAAGCTTATATCGCAGTCCCTTATACACTGACTTCATCTCTTCGTAGGTTATGTCCAGATCTTGAAATCCGTGCTGGACACCGTAAATCGCCATGCTGGTCAATCTGTTTGTAAAGTCAGAGAAATTGCTCTGTTTCTGCATGTCTGCGATGTGCATCCATTGACATGCTTTTATTTCACGTGAGCAAGGCTTCAGGTCAAATGTTAAAGGTCGAAGGCGACATACAATGAAAATGTCTGACCTTCCGAAAGCTCCAGGCTGTCTATGTTGCTGTCTCAGAGCAAGGACTGACTGAAATTCTAAAGAACATTACTATAGTAGTCTTCAGTCAAATGCATAAACCCCTTTTGGAAAATGTAAGCTACGATAATTGCCTAAATACAAACTTTCTTCCAAGAAAATGTCGCACAATAATTTACAGTGCATTATCAGTGGAGGTGCATAGCGACTGGTGTCAGGGTGACAAGTCCTGACCGACTTAAATCTGCGGAGTCAGTGATTTAAATCCAGTGTATGTATGTCAGTTAAATCAAAACAACAACCTCGAATACGTCTACCTAAAACTTCCAACTTGTTTATTATGCAATTGATTTCGTGTGGTCCTCACATATCTAAAACACGTTATCATTCTTAGGCTTGTGCAATTTTATCGATTGATTAAATAATGAATTGAAGTAGTAGGGGGGAATGAGTAGGAGTCTTAGCACAATTAACTTTTTTACGCACACGGTCCTAATCAAAAGAAAGATAACTCTAAGATTTCCTACCTGCTTCAATACCCGTTTCTTCAAAAACTTCACGCACGGCTGTATCACCTATAAAATAATCAATAAATAATTACAACAAATCAGTGAATATTTTTGAAAATTCTTTCTTTGATTAATTAGTTTATTATCCTAATGAAGTTATTCCAAATTCGAAAATTAGCAATAATGGTTGAAATCTAATTTAAAAAAAAAAAAAATGAGTATTAGGCCTTACAGATATCTTCCTCCAGATTTGATAAACCTCCTGGGAATTTCCATAGATTAAACTGAAAAGAAAATGAAATGTACAAATAGATATGAATGTGCCTGCTGAGACTGTTAGCCTTGTAGGACATAGAGAATTGTACTGAATTACCCTGCTATTTCTGTCCTGTACAGCTAGCACCTGTCGCGTGTCCTCACGAATCACCATTCCTGTAGACAACAAAAATAACGGCTACAGATCTGTTATGTCTGAATCACTCCATCAAATTATCTCCTTTATATTATTTTCTCTGTAAAAATCCCCCCAAAAAATGTATTTCATTTGATAGTCAAAACTATCAAAACTACTAGAGCGAACTATCTCCGAACGCATTTTTTAAAAAGTGGAATGTAAAATTTTCTAAATGTGTCTTTGTTTAAATTAATGACACATTACATTTATCCTGATATGGAAATACTAATAAGCTGAGTGAAAGCTTCTGATAATTAAATTACGCAGAGAAATTGCCTGACATTACAAATTTAACTGGAGATGCCATTCATCTCTCCTCCCACACAATCAATATGACCTTGGAGAGGTGTTTTATAACCTAAATTAATTGACAGTCAATCGTGAAGTGAACTTGCTTGATCATTTACATTGGAACTACAATGTATAAAGGTTATCATCAATGGAGAATTGAGAATACCATTATCTGGTAATAGATTCCACTTTGAACTAAAATTCATAAATTTTAGAACAATTATTGAAGATTACAAATTTTCTCCTCATTTTATTTTTGTGGAATTAACAAAATTTTCATGAGCAGACAGTTTTTTTCAAGCAAAATAATGATTCCTTGTGAATAAAAAGGGGTTCTTTAATTTTTAGTTTAAATGTTTCCATACATGAAGAAATGCAAACCACAGAATGATTACCAGTAAACCATGGTAACTTATTCTTTGCTGTTACTTGTAATCATGAGCTATTTTAACTAACTATCACTGTATCTTGTCTTACCTGAGACCCCCACTTGATGCGTGGCAAACTGTGGCGTCAGGTCCTCCCTACTCTCGTCCAACCACAGCTTCAGGAGGGACTGGCTGTACTCCGCGTGATGGAACTGAAATCCTTGATTGGCTGCCTCTGGAATCAGGTGACTCAGTAGGATCGGGACCCTGATCCAGACAGCTGTTTTACCCTCTCCTCTCCATTTCTGGAGCGAATCTGCAAAAACCAATAACTTCAAAGGTACCATTATTATTTATATCATATTATGAATAATAATAAATAAATTATTACTGTGTTTTAGTCAATAGGATAAAGAAGCAACCCTTCAAGTACAATATGTACCTTGCCCTTTAGGTGAATATTGTACCTTTTGGGTGGTAATTTTTGAAAGACAATAAACAGATGGGAATCAGATATTCATAATACTAATAAAATTGTCATAGCAGATTACATTAAGAGTTAATATATGACATTAAAATAGGTTAGGTTTTGAACATCAATTAAGAATCTCTCCTTTTATATAACTTTGATCCATACATTTGCAATAATTAGACCTTAAGGAATTTTAAAGTTTAAATACAAACCTGACAGTATTTGTTTGAAATCTTCTGAGGTGAGTGACGGTGATGTATTGAGATCTACAGTTACTCCATGATATTTGTCCTCTGTTACTGAAGCTGAGCTGAATGCTCTATGGAATTTTTTACACCAGCTGCACAACCTGGGAATTCTTCTCAGAGGATAGTTCATTAAAGATGGCAAGACCCTTCATGAATAGAAATTCAAATGCATTTTAGCATTACTTCTCTTGTAGTCAGACAAGGAAACTGTTGAATCAGGCCAAAAATAAAATTAGCTATGTTTGGCATTGCTGGCCAACTCACATAAATGTGAGCAGTCCAAAGAATTTTTTTCAACTGATGCGGATCATAATTTAAATTTTTTTATGTTCATCTGAATTTAGGTATTTGTATGTTTGAGTAATATTAATGGAAAGGATCATGTAAACACTTGATTAATCAAAAAGTTTTCATTTAATTAAAAGTGTCTAAGAGATGTTGAATAATGCGTATTACAAATCCAAGCACGTCTGTCAAAAGCAGTAATGTAAACTTGGTAGGGCTGTGTATTGAGAAAAAAAATTGATACGATACAATACAATATTTTATAATATAATATCCGATATACTGGATTCTTTAGCAAGTCTATCAAAAAAAAGTCTTATAATTCATTTCATGCATGAATTTTTTTAAAAAAATTTTCAAAGTTCTTGTCTCACTGTCTTAACAAATTACACTTCAAATTCAAACTTTCAATGACTGTGAAAACAACATGTTAAATTAAGTTGTCTATGTATTTTTTAAAAATTTCCAAATTTTTCACAGAATTACAAGAAAATCTGCCTGTCCGATTAGAAGTAATTTTTTCGATACGATACATTCTTTAATATCAATCGCTACATATTGAATGTTCAATATATTGATACAGCCCTAATTAACTCGGTATAACAAAATTTGATGGCGTAACCTAAATAAGTTTTAGGTCATCATTTTTACTAGTGCATATGAGGAATTGTGTAACTTTTCTCAAGTAAGTTGTTCTGTGACTTCGTTTACCATGTTTACAAATCCTGTTCTACTTTCGATTCTTCTCTTTATGTATCTATTTCTTTCTTAAGATGATTCCGACTACGATATGACCACTGACCCCCAAACGAGGGTTAAACACTGTTAACATCGTTCCGTGGATTTATCAGTCTAGACGAACTCCAAAAACGGCGTTAACGGAAGTGAGAATTTCAGTCCAGAAAAGACTCCAAAAAACGAGTCCACGCATGCGCAGTTATATCAAAAAACGGTGAAAAATCGTGAAAAGTGGGCTCTTATAAAAAGTGCTTTTGCAAAAAATTGGATTACCTTGCAATAATGTAAGTTCTCAGAAATGATTAATAATAAATGTTTTTAGAGAACGTATTTGTTAGAATTTTGATTTCATGTGCAAATATTTTTTAATTTCAACTCAAAGTTGACCAACTTCGAGGTTCATCCAGACCTCGTACAAGTAGGATACAAAATACAAATTAAACAGTCTTAATCTTATGAAAACATCTCTGTGGTTGATAATTTGTTTGCAGTGACTAAGTTAGTCATTTTAGAACGACTTTTACTGATTTTAGAAGTTTTTTTATAAGTTAGGGACTGGCGAATTATCAGTTGTTCGAATTTCCTCTGTCTTTCATGTCTATCGTCTACAAATGAATTTCAGCATTTTTAGAGCAGCAATGAGCAACTGCATTGTAAATACATCTTACCAAAAATTAAAAAAGTACTGAACTGATGGTTTTAATCATAAATAAGAGTTGACTAGGTGACAGTTTCATGAGAATCCATTCAGTTTCCACATTTCCTCTGTTGCTTTTTTTTTTTTTTTAAAAAGTTCCCGTTTCAAGTTAGATCAATTACAAATTAAGAAAAATAAACGTTTGGGAATTAAATAAATGATAAAAGGGGAAAATATGTAAAATTGAACAATATAATATATATGTTGTAACTGTTAAACATTGACTGAATTTTACCCATTTGTAATATTATTTCGTCATATAATCCTGTATGACGTCTGAATATGCACAGATATAATCCTGAAAACATTTTAGAATTATAATCTATCAGTTTAAGAACTTTAAAAAATCATTCTTTTAAAATTACGGTAAAAAGGTCTTCTCAAAACGAACCTGTTAATATCTACTCCGCCGCGAAAATTGTTTGGTTTTTCATAAAATAAATACGATCTAAGTGTCTTAGAATTAAAATTTAAGCATCTTTATAGTAGGAATGGCATAAAATTTTAATCAAGGGGACAATAAATTAAGTTAGGAAATTATTCTTACCGACTTTATTGAATCCGATGTCGTACATGTATATCCCAAATCACTATTATGCAAGAATGCAGAGCGATAAATAAGTCAATAACCACTTAATAATTTAATAAGTGTATTTATTTATTCAACAAAAATTAAAATCCAGTCACAGTTTACTATAAATACAGCCATTATTCGGTCGTATTTGTGGAGAAAGCGATCGATAATCCATCGTTTGTTTACACCGGAAGCCATTTTGCCGCAATGCATGACGGAGCCAAAGACTTCTTTTTTGGAGTTCACGCCGTTTTTGGAGTTCGTCTAGACTGTTTATACGCAATCTATATAATGCTTATTTATTTTACTTGCTTTCAATGAAAAATGTAATTCACATCAGTTTCTGTGTTTAAGAAATTCTGGAAAGGGGTATAGTGATTGATTTTTCTTACCACATTCTTATTATTCTGCAAAATCTGTCACCTACACCTTGTCTCCATAACTTGCGTAAGTTGAAGTTTTAAATTCATTTAGGAAACAATATAGGCGTGGAAAACAACAAAACCGAAACAGCAATTTTATTTCCGGTATACCTTCATTCCCAAACCCCAAACTCAATATTGCATTACTCAGAGATCCTGTGCTCATTAGAATTTGGCATGGGGCAAAACACATTTTATTCACTCGAGACATAAAGAACATTTATGGAGATTTCTAAACGGCATGGTCGGATCTAAAGGGGGGGGGGTCGAGGTGGCCGGGGGCTGAACCCCGAGGACTTTTTTTTTTCAGAGTAAAATTGCGGTATAAAAATAACAGATAAATGAACTTGATCCTCATTGGTAACATACACTCATTTATAAACGTAAGATAATTCGTTTTTCAAACTTTTTTTTTAATTTAGAAAAGTGTTATACCTTTCCACTTCCACGAAATATTAAGATTTTCATATTTGATTTTTTTTAAATATTACTTTTAGCTCACCTGTGCTACAGTATATAAGCTTTTCTGATCACCTGGTGTCCGTCGGTCTATCTGTCTGTCCGTCTGTCTGTAAACTTTTCACCTTTTCAAATTCTCAAGAACCACTATTGTTAAAATAAAGATCCAAACCCCACTGCAAGGGGAGAAAATCAAGAAAATGTAAGAATAGGGTGGTATCACAGGCACCTGACGTTACTTATTTTTCTTTTATAAAAAATATACCCCTACCTAATCATAAACCTTGTTTATTATTATTATTAGGTAGGGGATAACGTTATAATTTTTTTATTATTAAAAAGAAAAATAAGAAACGTTAGCTGCCTGTGGGTGGTGTCATTAAAAAATCTGCTTCTCGAGAACCACTGAGCAAGAAAGGATGAAACTTACGTGGAAGCGTCGTAGGGTAGTATTGATTCTAAATTGTTGAAATTATGCCCCCGGAGCTAGGGTGGGGCCACAACAGAGACAGATTTTCACAATGAAACATATAGGGGAAAAATCGTCTGAAAAACACAGGACCAAAACTGATGAAATTTACGTGGAGGCGTCCTGTGGTGGTGTAAATTCTAAATTCTTGAAATCATGCCCCCCCCTTCCCTTAGGATGGGACCACAATAGGGAATCACAGTTTAGCAGTGAAATATTTAGGAAAAATCTTTAAAAATCTTCTTCTCAACAACCACTCGGCCACAAAAGATGAAAGTGGAAGCATATTGGGTAGTATAGATTCTAAATTGGTACAAATCTTGGCCACTGAGGCTATAGTGGAGCCAAAACGGGAATCAAAGTTTTATATTAAAATATATATGAAAAAAAAACAACACACACACACCCTCTCTCACCCTCTCACACACACAGGCCAGAAAAGCCTAAACTTATGTGAACTCATCTTAGGAAAGTGTAGATTCTAGGTTGTTGAAATCACCCCCCCCCCCTCAAGGGTAGGGTAGGGTGGGGCAACAAGGGAAAAGTCTGGTGAAGAAAAGCAGGGTCAACGTTATTTAAGTGAGCGTTGTGGCCCATGGGCCTCTTGTTTCATTCATTCATTCATTTATTTGGGTCAAATAATTGTGTTGAAAATTTATTTTATGAATAAATGTGAGGGGTTTTTATTAAGCAATAAGAGATGAGGCAACTTAGGCGAGCATCTGGCCTATAAAAAGAAATTGTGATTCAAGTAGATCCTTATTGGGGGGGGGGGGTAAAGGATTGGTCCTTCAGCTGCGAAAATATTATATTTGATACAAAGCTGTTAAATAATAATGATCGTTGCCATATAAAACCTTACTCAACTTTATCAACAATCCTTCACTGTGGTAAAATTCATTGCCTGTTTATTGCAATTAAGTTCTCCATAGATGACCCATAAACATTCCAATTTATTTTAAATGATTATCCAGTAATAACAAAAGATAATATTTGTTTGATTAAGCGGACAAAATTCGTAAATAAAGAAGATTACCTTTTCCGTGCATTATGAATTTATTTTTTTCTTTAAAGAGGCTTTCGTGTGATCTCAAAGTACAGACTCCAATAAAAGAAAAGTCAGTCATATGACAATAAGCTTGGCGCTATCAATTTAAAATTAAAGAAAATAAGTTTACTTATATTTACCTATATTGTATAAACAGCAGAATCGGACAAGGTGCACCCAGTGTTATTAACAGCCATTGTCCCTGGCTAACGAGGTGTTCAGCCATTTAATTCTCTAATGACAACACTAACTGGCCCTCGCTTTTATTAACCCAACACAATATGTAAGAATTATCTCGTGTACATGATATATTGTAAAAAAAAAAATGATTCCGTAAAGAAGGATTAAAGTTTAATAGTTGACCAGAGGATAGAATGGGATGAACGAACGAAGACGGTATGTTAGGCTTCGTCTGTCCGCTGTACTTCTCTATAGCTTACCTCTGGCGACTTACAGGTGTGTATGACGATATTTCTGCATTTTATAAGAAAAAAAATGAAGAAAATATAAATTGATATATTTTTACAATAACTTGCATTTTCTCTGTGACTTTGTTGGATTGCTTTAGATGGAGCTTGTGAATTTCCCTCCGATCTTCGAGGAGAGTGGTACACGACCAGCAATGGCCTCGTGACGTTTACCAACCAGAGCATCAGCAACTTCAAAAGCTTGATCCACTCCTCCACTCAGACCTTCGACTGCGAATACATCGATAATGGCCGATATATCACGAGGTACTTAAAAGTCAGAAATACAAATCACATGATTCATGAGCTGAAATCCTGCAAAAAACTGTTGTTCTGTCGCCAAACTCTTAAGTCAAATTTTCAGCAGTTACCACTTTTTTTTTTTGGATTTTTTATGTTTATAAAGAATATTTATATAAATTTCACAGAACATTAAATTTTGTTTATTTTGAAATACAAAAAGAGATAACTCTTCAGTATAGGAAAAACTTACGGGTTTTTTTTTCACTGTAGAAATTAAGAACATAAATTTTCACAAGCATCCTTCAACGAAATTTCCTTTTTTACATGTATATTTATTATAAATTGTTTTAAAAGCGAATTCATGCCAGGCTTATGTTTTGTTTCAAGGTGGGGGGGTGTTTAAGGTTCAAAATGCACAAAATAGTCTGATTTTGATGAAAAATACACCCCGAATTCCTTCTCAGAAAAAGTTTTAGGTACTTAGCAGGAATTTAATCAATGACTAATGAACTCAAATTTGGAGTTAAAAAAATAATAGCAAGTATTTCAAACATTTTGAATTGTTAGTGTGCATAAGATGTAGGCAGGAATCGAGAGTTAGCGTTTGCAATTCTTATTGACTCTTAGGTCCTTTCAAAACTAAACTTTATTATCATATAGCATATATCAGAGATTTAAAAAATGTCACTGGGGGTTTTATCCCTAAGTGTGCCTCTCTCTATCTTTCTCTCTCTCTCTCTCTCTCTCTCTCGGTACATGTATATATTTATATTTCTATACTACAGAGCCCGGATCCCTATCCTTAGTACCAGTCTATATGACGTGTATTTCTGTATGTCATTTACAAAAATTACGGAAACCAAGTATCTTGTCCACTATAACTCAGGTAATAAAATCTATTAAAATATAGCGATGAAAAGTAATTAATATTCCGAAAAAAGCTATGTCATTTTCAAAATATTGATATGCTTTTTAAAAATGTGAATTTCAAAACAAATCAGTTTTACCATTTTTTTAATATCTGAACTGGATTTTTCCCCCAGATATCTCAGCCTTTGTTCAGGAGCGAGTGGTTGGGAAGACGGTCGTAGCTTCTAGTTCTACACTCCTCCCCGCAGCGGAGGCCTGTAATCTAACATCAGCCATACCCACCGGGACCCAGGAAGTGTACGTTAAAAAAGGTACCACGTCACCCTCAACAGGAATAGCATAGCTCTCTTATTATTCACCCTTTCCTTTACAACAAACTGCTCTACAGCTAGATTGAAACGATTTGATGATGGAAAAATTATCTTATCTTTTTAAGGTAACGAGACGTCGGATTTCATAAACTGTCCCAATAGTATTGCGAGCACCCTTGACATGACCTTGAACTCTGACTGCAGTGGAAACATTGTGTACGGAACGACAACTTCTTTAATACATACTTATAATAGTTCTTGTGTTACAACTAGTATAACATTTACAAGTGAGTGTGAATTCTATCTTTATTCTCTTCTTTCTTCATTCTTTTATTTTTGCATTTCGTACAGAGGGATGATTCTTATTTAGTTAATATTTTAATATTATCTCACTCGGCCAGTTGTAACATTCTGTTTTCTAGATTCGGTAAAGTGAGTAGTTTTTGCATACAATTTACTTTGTAATCCCTAGACAGCGGTAACCTTAGTTGCATTTACTCTGTGCTGTCTGGATTCACGACTTATCTGACAGTTTATAACATGGACATCTCTACGGATGAAACCAACACATTCAGATTTCTTTGTTATGTAAGTTTTTAGCGACTTAATTTTTGTAAAGATTTGCTGAATAATTTTCTAAATGGCATTCACTTTTATGAACGCATCACATTTTATGAAAATCAAACAATTCTAAAATTGAATCTGAATCTTTGTCCAAAGGCTATCACCAGCAGCGGTGATCAGGTATACCTGACATATCACCCAAAGATCTGTCAGTACAACCAGACATCTACTTCTGTGACGTCACCAGGTGTAATGGCTAACCTGGTAAATCGATGTGAGTACATTTTAATTTGAACATTATGTACCTGTTCTATCAAATTTATTGTGCAACTGTAAATCTCGTTAAAAAATTCTGATCACTGTAATAATATTAATTAGATAAAGAGGCAACTCCGACTGATGATGACGAAGTCCCAATAGTTATAATAATAGTCGGAACAACAGTGCCTTTAGTGCTCCTCCTTGGCATGATCCTCTTCATCGTATACTGGAAAATCAAATTCCGCAACAAGATAAACCACGAATTGGAAATGAATGCAAAGAGAAATTGGAGGAAACTGGCACAACATTTTAACATTACAACCAGACATAGTTTAGGAACGATGGAAGAGTACGCCGATCATTCAAAATTCCACAAGAAGAAAAAGAAAAAGAAGAGAAAAAGCAAGGAGAACAGCGAAATTGTCTCCATAAGCTCTCAAACTGTTAGTAATATTTACCTTAATAAATTAGATATGTTTTTTTAATTTCCACATTCCTTGATATTTAGTACAATATTTATGCGTACAATATATGAATAATGTTTATATATACATACACTACGCTGCTTCTCTGCAGGACTCCAGAAGGCGTTCTGTCTGGTGGGACGATTTCAGCAATACCATCGAGGAGCACCATGAGCCACAGGTTTGTACATTGAAAGCATAATATATCTATTTTTAAATGCATTTCGCACAAATTCAATTTTGGATATTGTTCATATATAGGTAAACACAATATTTAACCTCAAGTATACAAAGCATTCATCAAAATAATACGGTGAGCATACCTTTTTTTAGTAAGTTTGATAAATTAATAATTGATAATAAATATTTCTGTCATTCATTACATTGATAGCCTTGGCAAAATCAATGGGAAACATTCAATGATCCACTGAGTAAGCAGGTGAATGAGAGCGGGAGAAAATCCCCATCTACAGCGCGAAGTGACGCCACAGTCCGGAAAATATGGATAGATCCAGAGATGAAAGAAAAAGTGGAAGTCGATTCGGTGTGGGAAAAAGTGGCGAGCAATTTTGACCAGCTTCGGAAAGCTGCTAAGCCAAGTGAAACTGTTCGAACAAAATAGTTGTTCCAGTGAATGCATTTATGGATAGTTTACATATGTCCTCTGTTTGCTAGGAGTATAGCGAAAAAGGAACGGAAGACAGACGAAACAGAAAAAAGTTTAAAAAACATATTCTGGAAATTCATGTTGTACGTTATTAGATGTATACGCATTAAAGAGTTTCAACAAAAATTGTCCATATCCGTTCCCGAACCATTGTGAGGTTACTCTTTGTGAGGGAGAGCCATAGGCCTGTTGACCCGGGGAGGGAGTATTACTTCTTATACAAATGACATACTTTTACAGGTATGTCGAATATATATATAGGGGTTAATTTTAAGGAATACTGGTTTTAAACTTTTAATAAGAAAAATCGTGAATTGACCATTGACAACCTTTAACTGCAGCATCCCATCGCAACACCACTACTGGTTTAACGAAATACTGTTACATTGGAAAACAATCAAATGAAGCATCAACTTTTCAAACTTTTTTTTCTAACTTTTACCTGTGTTTAAAATTTACTACGAAAACACATGAGTAAATTTCACGTCTGTTTGTTACACGTTGTCTTAACTTGAATTGGATAAAACATTTACAACTTCATAATTAAATATTTACAAAATCTTGGGGACATAAAATCCCTAACAAGATGATGCTTTTCCTTGCGCTCATTCTTTGGCTTTATACTGGGTTTAACATTCTTGATTCGATACGCAAGAGCATGGTCTACGTATGAACAATTCATAAAAGGAGGTAAATTATTGACAAACAAGTTGATGAAACAAGATTATCAGCAGTCTCGTTTAAAGTCATCATACCGGAAGTTTTTTTGCTCGATACAATGACCTTGTCAGCAAATATAATCTATCATTAAGTCAAATGCCGAATGGCGTTTTTCATACTAATTGTTAGTTTATTGTTTACAAACCGAATTGACGATGGATTTTCTGTTATTTCCCGATCATGACAAGGAGCACACGGCGTGGGTGCTCACTCTTCCATGGCACCTGATCCTGCCTCTGATGTTTTGGAGGTCTGTGTTTTCTCTGCTCCAATTTTGTATTGTTTAATGTATTTTTTGAGCTTGAATACTGTTTGTTATCTCCATATATTTTATTCAATTTTCTGCCTTAATCTATACAAAAACAAATTTCAACTGTTTTTTGGATGTAAGTTTGTATTAAGTCTTGTGCTTTAGGGTTGTGACCCTTTTTTTTAAAGAATTCCTCGACCTTGTTGTTTAAGTGAGTCGTTTTGTTCCTAATTATAGAAGTCGACTCGTTGGAATAAAATCCTCTTAATCTTGAAGTTTGTGCAATTGAGAAAAATATATTCATTAAAAAAGAAAAAAAAATGACAGACCGGAGAGCTACATTGCCACTTATACAAAACTATATACTTTTACGCACAAAAGTTTCAGCATTTTGACTAACAGGCATACCTTTTAATACATTTAATACTAGGAATACTGTTATTATTATAAAATTAATTAGTGTTCAATATGTTACTGGTCAATTAATCTCTCACGTAATCTAACCTAGATTCAATCCATTTATCACGAAAGTTCCACTATAAATCTGACATGTTCAAAACAATACGGCCTAAAGTTCAGAGACTACAGGTTAGACACAGGACTGAAGAGTAACAAACTCTCTATATACTGTGGTTACTGGTGAATAATAACGAGAGGGTCAAGCTTCTGTAAGCTGGCGATTTACCATATATACAGGCTCTAAACAAGATAATCGGTAAGTAACACGCTGATGGATGTTTGGGAAGCAGTCATTTGTCTTTTGTTCATGATAAATATATTTTCTCAAAATACAATATCTACATAATTACTTTATCTTATATGATTTATTTAAAGATACTCTGTATTATTTTAAAAATATTTTTCAAATATTATTAACATCAAGGAATTACATCTGGAGAATGCTTTTTGTCAAGATGTACATTGTAATTTTCTTCCAGATTAACCGGATATGAATGTAAGTACAACCTAAATAAAAGACTAAAATATACATAAAATAAAAAGTTGTGTTTATTGTGGTATTTATCTTAGAAAAGAATAAATATTTCCAGTTTTCTATAATGTAAATGATACTAATTTATCATATTTGAATTTTAAGTCAAAAAATTGGCCGGAGAAACATGTTCCTCATTACCTGTGATTAATTTCAGACAAAGTTTTTAATAGCCCTCTTGGTGTTTGGTTTGATCATGTTGTCTGTGGACGCCAGGAGATGTCGGAGGGTCTGTAGAGCCGAGAGAGACGACTGCCACAGATCATGTCCCAGATATCCACTACATAGAAGAAGGAAATGCAGCTTCAGGTGCGAAAGAAAATTCGAGAGATGCAGGAACCGGTGTAGATTCCGCTAATTTCATCTAATTTGCCAACTCCAATGATTTTTTAAAAAATAAATAATGCATGCTTATTCTATTTCAAAAAAAATCTTATGTCGGAATAAATTTTTGAACATATCTAATCCAATGTTTGTACAATGTTGTCTTCACACCAACACTAGTTTTAATACTTTTATTGTCTCAAGCATAACACAAAATCAATCGCACTAAATTGTTTGAAATATTTACCGTGTATCGCCAATGATCGTGATGGACAATGTTCTTGGATTTCGTGGATCACCCTTATCCACGAATTTACATTCCAACGAACAATAATTTTTTAAACATATATGTCTATAAAAGTTATCCACAAAAATACGTCCCCATGAATGAACAAAAATTTGCTTGTCCACAAACACCGACCAAACAGTAATCATTAACCTTTTTCATTTTACAACCAATCTATATACATGTATAATTTTAGGTTTACAGTTTGAAGTAAAAGTCATATTACATTCAATGTCAATGGATCTTAAATTTTGAAATTTTACTACGGTCAAAACATTGTCTTTACATGTATATTGACATTGTTTGAAAATAGAACCTTTGGATCGTTTTATTTGTATATGACTACCAATTGTAAGCATGTTTACAAATACGTTTTGTTTAACTGTTTATTAAGAAAGAGGGCGTATAAGACGTGGACAATCCCCCGCTCTGAGACAAAATGTTTCTCAATTTTCAAAATTCACAGAAAAGTTATATTTTTCTAAAATCATGTTCTCAGTAATGTCATCTTCAAAACATTTTATCATTTTATTTTACTGAACGACTTATCATTTGATAATCTTTATTTCAAGTTGACAGTTAAGCATATTTAGTGGAAAATGGGTTTACTAGAGCAATAACAAATGAATTTTAAACATGAATGGGTCAAGTCTCCATTCTTCGTTAACGCTTAAATGATGGAAACTTAAATGTAAACTTTATTTTATTTGTCCAAAAAATGGAATCTGAACCCATTCTGTATGAAAATCAAAAATTTCTGAAAAAATGTACGCTTCAACAAATCCGTTCATTTAAATCACACTGACAAACGTCTATAATGCATGTACTTCGTATCGTAGTGGTTAAAGCGGTCGGTTTTGTACCAAACCCTGCGCTATGGAGAGAGTTCGAATCATACATGAAGCTTTTACTTTTTTGTTTTAACATATCTTAAAAACATGAGTGAAAAAAAATTATTGATAAAATATCTAAACAATGAAATGCAGAATTAAACTTGAAAAAGATGATATAAACAATATAATTTTGAAAAATATAACTTTTAGAATTGAGAAATGTCTTTTCTCAGAGCGGGGGATTGTCCTCGCCTTGTACGCCTCCATTCTTTAACCTTTTTCAGGATAAAAAAAAAACTTTTTGATTTATTCCCATATTAACGATTAATGCTGTCTAACATTTTATGGAAAGTAAAGCCTTTTGACTAAATCGCAGCATTTTCTGACAAACCACGCATTCTTAAAATTTGTGAGGTAATGTCAATCTTAAGTTGAAAATACAAATAAAAACTTTTGAATGTTTATCTTTAAATTTTCCTTTCAAAAGCTTTTTTGCCTTTTGTCCTTATTTTGTCTTTTTCATTTAACATATATCCCTGACTCTATTTGTTCAATAGTTTAATTATCTAGCTACTGTACAATAATGTTAATGGTGTGCCTGAATAAATTTGATTTTGATTGTTTTGCTCTGCCAGACAGAATGGCTGCACGATATATATGATGCAACTCGGAAAATCAGCAGAAATTCTTATTGATAAATTTGGAGAAATGACGACATAAAGGAGTTCTAGCATACTCTAAAAGATCTATTCCAAAATCATCAAATAATATAAATTACATGTATATTGAATTCAAATGAAATATGGTGATAACGAAAAGTATTTAAGCTATAGGCCCATAAAACAATTAAAACCGAGAACAGAACAAACATGAACCTCCAAAAACATCAAAGGCGGGATCAGGTGTCATGAAGGAGTGTAAATCCCTTGCTGGTGCTCCTTGTCGTGATCGTAGATAATTACGTGGGTTGTTCGGAAATTATTGAGACAATTACATTAACTCCATAAAGGACGGAGATAATTTCAAGAAAATTCATCAACATTTCCTATAGAACGAATTAATCATTGATGCAAAATTTTTTTATTCCTATGATAATTAGATTATTTTCGGTGAAATGATAAACATGTATATGTCTATCGACCTGGAGCAGCATCGCTACGTCATTTTACAGTCACGTCAGTCGGAGATGTTTTCGCATGTAAAGTGATCGGGAAGTATTTAATACTCTTCCTTCTTTGTTATTACATATAAAGTTGCAAAAATCAGTTTCTTTTCTTAAATTATTCTTTAAAAATGTATACTGTTGCTACCCCGGTAAACAATTTTAATTTTTGGGAAATGATGACTTAGAATCATGCAGTGCCGAATTATGCAATGCGGGTTTAATACCGTAACAATATTAATACCGTATGGAATAACTCATGGTCGTCCAGAGCTTTCAAATTTACTCTGGTTTAGGTAATTGTGAAAAAAATGTATACCAATGAAATAACAAACTATAACACATTAAATTATTCTCGTTGTTATTGATTTTGCAGGTCGTTCAGTCTGGTAAAGAGTTCTACATTGCGCTACACAAAATTTTAGGTATACCGACTGCTCCGTCCTTGACGTCAAAATGAATTGC